TCTAGCACTATATTTTTCATTTAAAAATATTTATTTGGAAATTAAATTATTTTAATTTAAATTATTTTGAGATAAAAATCATTTTTAAGAATCATTTTACCAAGAATTACCAGGTTTCTTAAAGTTTAATGTTAAAGTATTGTAAAGTAATATCTGTTCGAAGTTTTGCTATGAAAGAAATGCAATATTCTGACTGGATCTTTTTATAAATTTAAAACTTTTTCAATATACAAAAATAAATATTAAAGGGAAAGATAGACTTCAACATTGAAATTTATTTCTTATGATTCGTAAGCAAAGAATTTTTATGGGCATATTTTCTTGTATCTTTGTGTGTAAAACATTAAGAAAAGTTATCATATTCAAGTATATAAACCATGTGTATACAAAATAAAAGTAAAAATAAAAATAAATATAAAAAATAAAATAAAGTCGGGTCTTCGTCAAAGCTTTAGACCACTCAGAGGTCGCTCAACGATTTTGCGGGTATTTGAATCTCTGTCATGAGATGTGTACACAATATCCTATAGTTCTCTTGCCATTTTTGAACTGGCAATAGTAACTGACTATTGCCTCGGCACCGATCTGTTCTTGATCTACTAAAACGTAGATCAAATATTTAGTTTGATTGTGATGTCAGACTAGCCCATCACATAGAAGGTGTCTCTTGATGGCAAATGGACCTAACAACTTTTTATTTATGAGAGTCTTTCGTGACCTATAACTTGTGAAGGATGTACCTAACAATGTTGTCCTTATTGAAAACTTGATTTATCATCGAGACCTTCTGAATGGCACCCGGCAATTTAGGCAATTTTTCATAGATTTTTGGCATTCTTCTTATTTGTGTTCGCTGCTCGCGTAAATTTCTTGCCACATAAAATAGCACGAATAGTTGTTGCAGGTCGACCGTAAGAAAAAAAAAATTAAACACGTGGTTGTATGCGACGTCAATAAGGTTGCATAAGGTCGTTTATTTATACAGACGCTTAGAAAAATACAGGGCGGAAAGACCCACGTTTATTTATAGTTTCTCTCTTGTCCGGGATTATAAATAAATGATTCAAAGATTTTCAACTGCTATAGTAATATTGTTTGCTATATCTTAAGCTTTACGAGCTCCGCAAGTTTTCACGTTGTGTTCCACTTTTATATATTGTATTGTTAATGAAGAAGCAATTGAATACTATATATATATATATTGTATGTTGTAGATATTTCCAAGTTATTGATTTTAAAGTTTATATAATAATATTTATTTAACGATACATGTGTTCTACTGATCTGTAATAAAATTTTAATAATTCTAAAGCATTATTAAATTATAATATATCATAATATTTATTTTGAAATTGAAATCTTCAAAATTTTAATAATAGACACGAGGTATTTTGTATATTTGTAACATTTATGAGGATCGCTTTCGTTTTATTGGAATAGTGAACGTATCTAATCTTTTAAGATAAGCGAAAATAAAGTAGTGAAGATAGATGATATATAAGTTATATAAATAGATAATAATAATTTATTGAGATGAATTTATTGCAAATAAGGTTTTCAAATATACTTTTGTTTTATCGCAAATTATAAAACGCACATAATATAAAAATAAGAATTAAGTTAGAAAAATTTTATACTTTAAAAGAGAATCGAAGATTGACAAGAGTCAACGAAAGCAAATTTTCTTCAGGAAACTTTCTTTTCAACAATAATTTAAGAATTTAGTAGAACATTTACGAAAGTTAATCATTTTTCAACCGAAAGCTTCCTTGCGTGACGTAGGGATTTAAAGAAGCACAATGACGTCTGGATGCTATATGCTACGCCAAAAGTTTATTCTGGCCTTAACCAGAATTTATCCTATATACAAATAATAAACATTGAGAAGTGAAGAAGAAGGCAGGGAGGGAGAGAGAGAGAGAGAGAGAGAGAGAGAGAGAGAGAGAGAGAGAGAGAGAGAGATTCTTGTGTATACTTAATTCATAAAGTAATACAAATATATGTATACGTTTCTCATACGATGGATCTTCTGAGATCTTAGTTTATTTTAATCAATTGTACAAAAATTTTATAAAAATTAAAATTACTGCGCGTATTTTTTAACATATAATGGAATAATTATATACTATAGAATTTAGATTTAAAAAAAAACGGCAAAAATAAAATATATTAGTAATGATAGAGATTTAAATAAATGAAAGTTTATTTTTATTAATAACTCAAAACTTACATGTCTTCGCTTTGTATTTTGTAGTTATTAAAAGAAACAAAAATTTTTTAGTAAAAACTAACTTTTATTAATGATATTAATTTGTATTAATATTATTGTAAAAATATTTCCATTATTAATTATTATTGTTAATAATAATTATTATAATTAATTTTTTAGTAGAAATTAACTTTCAAATAACTTTTAAATCTCTAGAAGATTTGTCACAAAAATTTAATTTGTCCACATTGGTTTTTTTCAATTTTTATTTATTGTATTTTTTAATCATAATTTTAACAGAAAATGAACTGATTTTGTAACTAATTTTAATTTTAGATTTTATTACAAGTATAAAGCACTAATATGAATTTTTTTCGTGTTTTACAGAAAGCTAGATTGGCACGTATCAGAATCGCGAAGGCGTCGAGCGGTGCCGCTTTCGTTAGCAAAAAGAAAGCAGCGGAGGCTCGTTTGGCCGCTCAGGAGAGCGGGCTGCAGTTGGAGGAGTTTTATAAAGAGGAGGATATCTTCGAGCTGCAACATCATCACCTACTTCGTTGCTTGGAGAAGACCACGGTAACTACTTCTATCTAATAACAGCATATTATGCTTTTATGTGAAAACTCTAATGTTCCCTTAGTACCCGCTGAATTGCTCTAAAATCCTTGAAAATCTCACCGATAAATTAACTTTCTTAAACAAGGAATTTTATCTTTTATTTCTTGCTTTGACAACGAACTTAGGCAATATTTTTTCTTCTTTTATTATATATTCTAAAGTTAACGCTATATAAATTAAGATGTGCCAAGAAAAAAAATTCGTCTTTAATGTAAAGATTTGTTTTAAAATATACACATGTCGATTTTAATTAAAATTATAAATACTGAATGTGCTTATCTATTGCGTTGTTTTTTAAATCAGAATTTTAGTAAATTTTATTTAAAATAATAAATAGAATAGAGAGATAATATGGGCATATTATCAATACATTATATAATGATGTATTACGTATAATGAGTTCTTTTCAGCAATGAAACACAATTATACACTATGTGACACAGTATTTACTTGTAGCTGAAACATTGCTTAGCTTTTTTATTTCACCATCAGAGTGAAATAAAAAAAGATCTCATGTACCTGTATCTAATATATTCGAATGTAAGAGAATATCTTATTGGAATAGACTTACACTTCTAGAAAAATAAATGGTAATGAAAAATTTGTTATTAGCGAAGTGATACATAAAACAATACAATCGAACACAGTATTTGTCTGTTTACGATTATGTTGTTTTGTGTTATAGTTGGAATCGTATACCTGTATTACACAATGTCGCCTGTGTTATACCCAATATGTATTGATATTTTCTATTAAATAATTATACTATAAAAAAAAGAATGATCTCTAGGAAAATTAAGAAAATCCCTTCAGGATAATATAAAGATTACTTTGCTACCATTACGTAGAATTTTTCGACATTTTGCATAAAGAACATTGTGACGAAGATTAATCAGCAAAATGATAATAATTAATCATTCATGAATGTAATGTTCTCTCGACGAACGACGACAAATTTCTACAAAAACGCAGTATATCTTTAGTGTGCTTCAGCATTCCGTCATTAATCCCACGCGAAACGACAAAGCAACTGCATCGTCGTGAATGCATCGTCGACACTTCCGTTCTCGCGTCGAGAATTCAATAGGTACTCCGCCTCGAAAATCCGGCAGTCCGTTTCGCGAGTATTGCCGAGTACCGGAATAATTTGAATAAACCCTAGTCTCTCCCTCCATCTCTCGGACGCTCCATCTGCTCGTTTAATTTTAGCCTGGTGAGAGGTTGGTTGCGCAAGCGAGGGTTGCCGCGAACAGTGTATAGTCTTTATCGAGCCTGAATACGTGCGACCAACCCTTGTTTACGGAGCTGCTACAGAAATGTGCTGTTGTGGAATCGTACATGCGGGGCATTAAAAATTTCTTACTTTTTATGCAAATAGTAATAATAGTAGTAATCTTCTTATGGACTCGCTCAAATTCAACAGCAAATCCAAAAAAATCAGGGCAAATAAGAGTCAGCGTGATATACGCAATCTTAAATCTTTATTCCAGAAAATAGAATCTTTATTCCAAAAAATAGTATCACTAAAGAGTATTAATAATGATAATAAATTTTAATTGATTTTGATCCAATATCAAGATAAATTCCTTCTGCAGTTTGGGATTACAACATCAAATCTGTTAATCTGATGATGATTTTTTTCTTGGATATAAAATTTTTTCTTTGATATTTTGAAATTGTATTGCTGAGGATAATTCCAAAGAACTACTATTTTTTGGAATAAAGATTCTATTTTCTGGAATAAAGATTTAAGATTGCGTATTAACTACCACGCTGATTCTCATTCGCCCTGATTTTTTTGGATTTTTTGTTTTTGTGCAAATGCAGACAAAAGTTACAGTAAAGTTACAATAGATACAAAAGCGATACAGTAAAATATGAAAATGATCTTAACATATAATTTTTTAACTAAAAATAGCAATTAAAGTGTGACGTTAGATTTGATAATAGGAATATATTATAAATATATATATGATTCATTTCAAGTAATTTTTCTTTATTAAATGCAGAATAAAAGTTTATATAATCTATGCAATTTCCGTTGAAATATATAAAAATTAAGATTTAATGAATGCAATTTATGAATAAGTAAAATCTAATTTTATGGATTAAGAATATATTATATTGCTACTTTTTTTATTACTTGACTCTGTCAATTATCATTTATAATAAAATAAAAATTTGTCCAATTACAGAAAACGTTAGTTTAAAAAGAAGATAGAAGCTGTAAGAGGATTAATATAAACCTCAAATAAATTTTCCAGAGAAATTCGATTTCGCGTAAAAGGATTTGTAGCTGCAAAAAAAGGTGCCATTTTTCCGATATATTTTGCTTGTTATGTACATACATATATAGATGTTCTGCGCAGAGATGCATACAGGTTTATACAATTAAAACATTTAAAACCGTGACATGCACGCGTGCGCGAGATGTGTACATCGGAAAGATTATAAATAGGTACGCCTCGCGATTTATACAACGTATGTAATGACAGCTAGTTATAGATATACAGAAAGGAGTTTATTATGCTAAAAAGAGAAAAAGAAAGGAAATTTGTGACGTGCAGGATATTTAGGATAATAAATGTCATAATTCATGACAGTTTATTAGTATAAGATGATAGAAATTGATATTTTAAAATGGAGAATAAATTGGTATTTAAGTAATAGTATAAATATAAATTATCTATATCTTTGCGGTTGTTTTTTTTTTAGTGCGTAAATAATATATTTACGATATTGAATAAAAAATGTATCCTGAAAAGATGTATCACAAATAAAAAAATTTGAGTACTTCGCTCATTTGTTATAACAACACAACTTGGGTAACTGTAGAAGTATATGTCTAGGGGCACAGTGAAACATCTTTTAATGCAAGCGATACCGAAATATCCAATCTAAATCATCTAATAAAAATTGAAGTAATGATAAAAATAATGACTGAATCGTTATCGTTACTGTAAAAATGTAACTGTTATTGTTATAGATAGAAATTATCTGATTTTAAATTAAATGAACAAAATTTTTCGATTAAAATTTCTCTCGTTTCGTCTTAGTAGGAAGCATATAACTTCTGATAGGAAAAGAACTATTACACGATGTTTCAAGATAAAGCATCATTAAATAGCAATTGCTGGAGACATTCAACTTATATAAACATTTCATCCCAGGAATGCTGGTAGATTAAGTAAAGCTAAACGACGCACTGGGAGATTGAAAAACGAAAAGGAAGATATCAGCGTAGAAATCAAAATTGGAGCAAGTATTCAGCAATTGTAAAAAATCTTTTCAGAGCTTTTACTGGCACCCAGATTTAGAAACAGAATTCACCCATACAATTGATGCTTCAGAGACCACCGTAGAAATAGTAGTGCAATAACGTTACAAAAGGGGTAGCTACAGCTCGTATTTCTGAAAAAAGAAGCTTAGCCGAGCTTAGACTAAATATAGATGTACGACCGAGAACTATTGGCGATTTACTCAGCAGTTAAACAGTAAAGGTATATGATAGAAAGACGATATTTCACAATTTATATATCGATACGAATCACAAAAATCAACTATACAACCATTTTCAATCAAAATCCACTTCTTGGCTCTTTTCGACAGATTTGCTATTTAGAGTATATCGATCAGTTCATAATTGATATTTGACATATATTCGGAAGGGATAATATTGCAGCAGGTACTCTTTCTCGAAATAAAAAAAAATTCATGTAATAAATTTCCGAAGAGCTAGCCAAATCTCAAGAGGACAATGCAGAACTAAAGACAATCCTGCAGAACGAAAAAGTATTAAAACTTTCCAAGAGATACAAAGATATACTAGACCACCAGCTCTTAGACCACAAATTCTACCACAAATTCTTTCTATCCAATTCTACTTTTATTCCAAGAAATTGTAGATATTATTTACTGCGGTTTCTATTAATTTTTATTTTTATTCCAGTTGCATATATTTTAGATTTTTACATTAATTACTTTACATTTATGAATCTTGTTTGTGAAAATGATAATGGCAATTATGTTTTTAAGAAAATATCAATGACAACGAATGAGGATTATTATTAAATTTTCGATTTATTCCTCTAAAAAATATATGGGTATGAATTTAACATTATGCGGTGTTTATATAATTCTTACCGTGTATGTAAACATCAACATAGATTTAAAATCCATAATGTTAAATCCATGGTGTTTATATCAATACTAACAGTGAGAATTATATTTAACATTCACTTTAAACCCACACAATTTTCGAGTATATTATCTTTTATTTTTATTTTTTCTTTAAAGTTTTGGAAAATACTTTTGTAAAATAATTAAGAAAGCAGAACTAACATAAAGAGAGAAACGCAGTAGTATATAGCAGTAGTATATACAATGTTTAATTGTTCATCTTTTATAACCTAACGTGTCAGTAGGGTAATTCTGCTACCTTGTATATTTACCCTGTGTATAAGTTAAGTACTATGCATGTAAGCAGATGGTAAGCAACACACGCTTGTGTTGCTTTTGTTAATTCCTTTGGGAATTCTCTCTGTAAGGCATTTTGTAGATTAGATAGAGAAACAAACTCGGTTACGAGCGATCATATTCACCTGTGCAACATTATTAGTGAATTTACATTTTGCACTGCAAATAGTAACTGAATTTGGAGTGATCTTTCAGCCTCTTACTACGTTACATGATTAACTACTGGTTAATTATTTTAATAGTGAAAATTTAGACGTGATGTTTTGACAGAACTTTAGAATTTTTAGATTGCCAATGTAGTAAAAACTTTATTTGCTTAAATGGTTAAATTATTCATATGTAATACTGCATTTT